ATAGAAAATAGTTTGAACAAAAAAAACATCAGAAGCAAACTTCCTCATTCACACAGAAGGGAGGATAAAGACGTTGATGTTTTTGTGTCTGAGCATGACATTGTGTAGGACTGTGCTGGTTTCTTTTTTTTTAGCTTCGATGTGGTTTCCTTTGTATGGAAAGCTTTCAATGTTCTAAACAGAAATAAGGATGAATGAAAGTAGACATTTGAGATGATGAAAATACAAAAATTACTTTTCCAGTTTTTGTGTTTTGAGGATTTGAATCCAAATCTGTTTTCCATATGTAATAAAAAGATTAGTGATAGTATAGTCCTCCTTCAAGCGGGCGGCCTGTGGCTCTTTTCCTGCTGTACTGCTTCACTGACAAAGTAGATAAGGTACACATTAAGATTGTAAGAAATGAGTGATGTTGTTCACATAAAATGTTGCACCAAATAGCATTAACATCTAAACAAAATATGACATTAAAAGTGACTGTGAGCATGTTCCAGTTTGTTGTTTTAAGTTTTGTGCGCCCTGTGGAAAAGTATGGAGTGTGAAGTCTCTTTTAGAGGACTGATGATCTGGATTTGTTGATCCCCAAGAGTCTGTATCTGGATCAGGATGATCAAATCCATGATTGATCTAAAAAAGGGATTAAAAATGAGCTGGATCACATGACCCAACATAGAAAGAACCAAATCTGGATCATTCTTATCCACATTAAACCTTTTAAACCAACAGGCCCTCTAGATAAGACAAAGATACAACAACAGCTTGAGGGCCATGTTGCTCGTTTGTTAGAGCATGTACCATTTAAAGCATGAGTCCTTATCTCAGTGGACCAGGTTCAGTTCTAACCTGGGTCCTTTAGTGGGTGACGTTCTCTCTCTTCCTCTTCTTAACTGTCCATCTTTAGTTGATGCTACCAAAAAAGGGTAAAAAATGTAAAAAAAAAACAGAGGAGGAGTCAAACACTAACTTCCTCATTCTCACTACAAGAAGAAAGGAAGAAAACTTTTGTGTTTTTTGTGTCTTAGCAGCGAGGTGACTGGTTTGTTGCAGTTTTGCTGAAATTTAAAAATCATCTTTTTTCTACATTTTCTCTGTTTAAGCTCCTGGAGGTTTGTTTGGTAAGATCAGCTATGACTGCTATTTATGTTTTATTGTTTTAGTTTTCAGCAGCTTTTATTTTCTTTAAGTGAAAATGACTGTTTTGTTCATCCAACTCTTTAACGAGGACTTTGAAGAGTAACTTAGTTTTTAATTCCAGGTGATGGGTGTTACTGCAGTCCTGTCAGTGAACATGGTAACAGCCATCATGTTACTGACTGTCTTCTCTCTTTCAGGTGAGCTGTTTGTTCACTTACTTTCATTCAAAGATGTTTAATCTGTACAGTTTGAACTTCCTGTAGAAACAAAGCAGAGAGAAGAGTGCAGATAGAGTTTCTTCTTTCATCTCTTCATGTCCTGACTGAAAAGTGAAATGTTTTAGACTGACTTTGTGAACAAGAGAGAAAAAGACCAGAGCACACCACATTACTTCTTAGACTCTCATTAACATCCTCTATATGAAGATCCTGCTCCACATTATAATAACTGATGGTCTGCTTTACAGAAGCGTCGGATGATTGTCGGACTTATATGTCAGATCTCTTCATCACTACACCAAAGAAGATGGAAGCACTGAGTGGAACTTGTCTGAAAATCCCATGTAGCTTTAGTGTTAAAGAAGAAAAAGAGTTTGACAACACAAGAGAAACATTTGGAATATGGTATAAAGAAGACAAAGAGACCTACGATCCAAAGAATGTGGTTTTTAACAGTGATGGCACAGTGAACAAATTTCAAATGAAGATAACTGGAAACTTGAGAATGAAAAACTGCACCACTCTGATTTACAACATGAAGACGACATATGAAGGCGTATACTACTTCAGAATCGAGAACGGGCCTTTCAGGGCAAATGCTGTTTGTGATCCTCTTCAAATAAAAGTCAAAGGTAAGAGAGTTTCATTTTCTTTTAATCAGACTATAAAGGTTTTATTAAGAAACAATAAATCATTGTCATAGCACGAGTTGAACTCTGATTAAATACTGAGACTCTTTTTACTGGTTGAGATTGAAGGGTCCAATCTTGGCACACTAAGAAGCAGAAAAACATTTTAATTTAAAGTTTTTAATTACAGTGCTGTCAGCTTTTGTCTTAACATCATTAGGACCATTTTTTCCTTGTAACATTTTTCAACCCCTCCCCCCTCCTCTCCCATACACACACAAACATATACATGCACACACACACACACACACACACACACACACACACACACACACACACACACACACACACACACACATACATACACACACACACACAAAAACAACAACAATGTAACAATGATAAGTATCCTACCCTTCCTTTTTACAAAGTAAACACACATTTTTATATATGACATTACAAAAAAAGTTTCCATGACAGAATATTAACGTGGTAATGATGACAGGCGGTGGCTGGAAGTTTGGGAAGAGTATAGTAGAAAAACATTTTAGAAAGGACAGTCACTGTCAGCTAGTCTATTGGTTAAAGTAATCTTTGTTTGATTTGAACACACAGATTCTCCTCCGAGCCCCAAACTAATCATCTCAGGAGATCTGAAGGAGAAGGAGTCTGTCACTATAACCTGCTCAGCTTCCACTCCCTGTCCACTCTTCCCTCCTAAACTCACCTGGAATCTCAAACAAGACTCTCTCAACAACATGGAGGAAAACCCAGATAAAACCTTCACGACTAAAATCCAGGAGCAGATCACTCTGACGGACAAACATGATGGATACAACATCACCTGTTCTGCCACATATCCTGTGAATGAAGGAAAAGAAGTCAAGACAGCAGAGGAGACAAAAGGAGACTCTCAGAGTTTCATGTGAGACAACCAGAGATTGTTATTGGATCCTGTCAGAATGAGATGATTTTAAAGATGTTTGCTGTTTTTAATGAAATACAATTATCTAACATTTTCCTCAGATTCTCCTAAAAACACCTCAGCGTCCATCAGTCCATCAGGTTTGGTGTCAGCAGGTATTCATGTGAACCTGACCTGCTCCAGCAGAGCCAATCCTCCTGTCAGCAGCTTCACCTGGTTCAAGATCAGCAGAGATGGACCCATGATCGTATCTGAAGGAGAGTTTTACAGCTTTAATGCCACAGAGGGAGGAGTTTATTACTGTGTGGCCATTAATGATCTTGGTAATCAGACATCACCACAGATCCATCTGAGTGTTGCAGGTAAATTTCGAACCGAATCATCACATTTGTGTCCAACATGCTCTCCTTTTTGATCTGTCAGGTTATTTGTTTGTTTTCACTAAAAACAAATCTTACTGAATTCATGTGTAATAATGCTACATAAATAAATAAAACAGAGATGTTCACATTAGAGGTTAAAAGATTAAATTAAAGTGCAGGATATCTCACAGCCATGAAAAGCTTTTTCCATCTAGTAGCAGGTGATCATGATGTCTTGTTCCAGAAAATCTGATTTCCGATCTGTTTGGGGTTGATGTCCACATTACATTGAAGATCCTGGGAATCGTGCTGCTCTGCAGTTCAGTCATCATCTTTGAGTGGTGAGACAAACTGTCATAAGAAATGAAGATTTGTGGCTCATGTTAATCATCTCATTGCATTTTTATTTTTACAGTGTCAGTGTTTGATTCTTATTTCTTTCATCTGATCTCTTTTTCTTTCAGCTGGTTAAAGTCAAGATGCTTCAACAAACAGGTGAAGGTGAGTTACTAGATGAGGACAGGTTCATCATTGTTTCTACAAAATGAGATTGAAGCACATGTTATAAAAGAGAGAAGTTATCTGAGTAGCTCTCTTTGAAGATTTGATCAACACAGTCACATAAAGTAATTGATCCAGAGAAAATGATGTTCAGATATTCAGGTCCAACAGCAGCGACAGGAGACCAGATGGTAACAGTGAAAAGTGTTTCAGGAGAACTTAAACTGACTTTGATTTGCAGAGATAAACTTCAAGTGTTGCTGGTTTGTCTCTTGTAGCTGCATCAAAGTCACCACACAGCACTGACACCGCTCTCTCTGTGTTGTTTCATTCAAACAGGACGCAGAAAAAGCAGACTATGTCAACAGAGTGGTTATGATTCAAGCTTCATGAAGGAGAAGAGGATGACTTCATGTTCATCTTAAATGCAATATCTCTATTTCTCTTTTCTGTATTAAATGTTTTTTCTTTGCAGCAGGTTAGTGATGAACAAAGGATGGGATACGACAGGAAGGATGTTTTTGTTCAAAGGCAGATAACATAAAAATACTGTAATGTACTGCAGCCAAATCATTACACTGTGAAGCACTGTGCTGGTCTATGGTATTGTTGTTGTAATTATTTTTTATATTAGCTTCTTTTTTAATAATACATTTCATTTCAACGCACTCCATGTCACCTTACAAAGCAGAGATAAAAACAACAGAGTAACAATACATCCATCAAATGAACATCAAAAAGACAAATTTACAGAGTATGAAATCTTTGTGACATAGGATAGAAAATGCCCGTTTTGATGAGATGAGATTTAAAAATAGAGAGAGAGTCAATCTTACAGATGTGTGGTGGGAGAGAGTTCCAGAGGAGAGGGGCAGAGAGGCTGAAGACCCTGGACCCCATGGTGGACAGGCGGGCGGGTGGTGCAGTGAGTTGAATGGAAGAAGACCTGAGAGTGAGGGTGGGTGTGTTGATGTAAAGGAGATCAGAGAGGTAGAGAGGAGCGAGGTTATGGATGGCCTTAAAGAGCCCATATTATGCCCTTTTTGGGGTTCAGATATTTAATCTATGTAGCTACTTTTGTATGTTCACAATAGCTAAAGTTTGAAAAAAGTTTCTGTTTTCATGTACTGCTCCTCCTTGCTCCCTCTACGCTCTGAGTCCGTCAGCTACACTCTGTTGAGCCCACACTGTTAGACCCCACGTGGGCCAAGTCTGCTCTGATTGGTCTGTCGATCCGCTCTGTCGTTATTGGTCAGTTGCTCAGAACGCTTCTCAGAAATTTCACGCCCCTTTTACCATATTGGGAAGTCTGCAGCTCCGGCTTCGAGGGCAGCAAAAACACCGGTATATATATATATTTCATTTATTTGATTATTTTATTTTATTTTGTTTTGAAATTGTGTAATTCGATTTGTTTAGTTGATTTATTTGTCTCTTAAGAGGTGAGGTCCCTTGTATAAGCCTGTTGGCTTCTTGACCTCTCCTGACACACCTTTTATTAATCCTATTTTGCTTTATTCTTATATGTGTGCTATTAAATAAATTAAATAAATAAATAAATAAACAACAATGGCGGTTAATGATCCTTACCAGTGAGACCCGGAGTCTGAAACCGAAGGAGAGGATGAACAACCATCACAACCTTTGCCACGACGGCTGGAGCAGGACGTTTCAGTGTGGTAGGTATTTATTTTTCAGCTTTTTTCAGATGTAATATGTTAGTAATATGTGCTCATTGTGTTTGCATTGTTTTACGTTGTTCTGGTGTATGTGTGAAAACTGCAGCAAAATGCCTACAGAAGCAGAAAAGGTGTGCTGCAGAGAAATACCACAGGTCATTTTTACAAGGTAAATACTATAACTTACAACCAGGACATCACAACAGACACACACAAAGCATGTTATGTTTGCATCATGTCTTTTCATCATAAAAACATTCAACGTTATTGTTTTGAAAAATGCGTTAGCCTCTTCTAATTTCAGTGACTAGAACTACCAACATATTTTCCCAATCAAAAAATATCTGTTTTACTTGTGGCTTAACAAAGTTTGGCTATAAATTTACATTAGTACTGTACATTCTTAAATGAATAACGGTGAAGCCACTCACCTCACCTTGTACTGCATTGTAAATCACCTCCTTGCTGTAATTAAAAATTCAGTTTACAATTGTGTGTATCAAGTTCATCATATAACTGTTAGCTACCTATTCTACAAAAGCCCAGGTGATAATCATGTGTAAAATAGATCAATATGTGTACCATGCAATAATTTTGCCTACTCTGTCATTAATTGCCCCATTATTACTGTACTGATGGAGTATTATTATTTCATTTTAATCAGTATCTTGTTCTTTTTATTAGGTCATCTGGAGAATGAATGAGCTGCCTGTGTAATGGATATAAGATTGTGCACTAAGTTAAATTAATAACACATGTTAAAACTATGTCTTTCTAAAATGTTGTATATCCTTTAAAAACGCTAAAAAGCTAGTTATAATTTAATGTTAATTCATGTTGCTAAGGTTAAGTTTAAAAGCATATCGGTAATTGATTGGTTTGGTCTTAAGCTTTTGTTATTGTTTTACACTTCCGGTTTTACGCCAGCAGAGAGAGCGTGTTGTCTGAGCGTCATTCATTACACCATTGAATGAAAGCCAACAACAATGTGTTTGTTTGTTTCTTCTTTATTTCTCCCCTTACAGTACGCTGTACAGGGGTGTAACACCTGTTCCTTCCACCTGCATGACTCAACATCCGGGGCTAGAAGCAAACAGTCTTAACCCATATACACTCCAAAATATACACAACATTCTTCAGAGTGGACTACGGGCCTTTGAGAGGGAGAACAGCAGAAGAGTATGTAAAGTATAAAAAATGATTCTAAACAAACAGTTCATTTCCATTATTCAATATGAATAAAAGTAAACAAGTTACAAAACCTTTTTTGTAAATTCTTTATTTGCAGCTAAAGTTAAACAAAAGGAAATGAGAGAGAACTATACAATGTAATATACAATGAGAACATTTTTATGTCTCCATACAGGCTTTACAGACACTTGGCCTATCGTAGCTGTGTGAGCTGGTGCTGGGGATATTTGGGACGCAACTGCAGAGTAGTCATCCCGTCGTGTGTTGTCCTGAGGATCCGGCTTGAGTTTCCAGACCCGACCGGACAGTATCTTGGCTTCCGCCCGCCCCTTGGCTGAACCTGGACTTGTGTCAGAGTCAGTGAACAGAGTCACTAAACCGGATCGTTATCCTCTGCCTCGAGTTGAAGATTGTCGGAAATGTGAATTTGGCCAGGGTACAGTTACAGTTCTGGGAAAAATCGTCGGTTGGGGGCAAGTCCAGCCGGTGCACTCTAAAGTAGAGGGTCCTTCTTCGTAACGTGAGCTCCGCCATTTTTTGGGGATGGCAGGGTATTATCGTAGCTTCTGTAGCAACTTCTCTGCTGTTGCGGCTCCGCTCACCGACCTGTTGAGTCCCAAGAAACGTTTCGAGTGGTCTGACAGTTGTCAGTAAAGGCCTTAATGACTCATGCTCCGGTTTTATCTGCGCCTGTGTTTGATCGCCCTTTCAAAGTTGCGGTTGATGCGAGTGACGTAGGAGCGGGTGCTGTCCTCCTTCAGGATGGACACGATGAAGTTTAACACCCGGTCTCCTATTATTCTTAAAAATGTAACCGTCATCAGCGCGTGTACTCCACTATAGAGAAAGAGGCTCTAGCACTTGTTTTGGCGTTAAAACATTTTGAAGTTGATCAGTGTCATGGATGCCAGGTCAGGCTACTAGGCTTTCAAGCTCACAGAGGAATCATCCAAGTTGACCACCTTCAACACTGTTTTTGGATGATACAGATTTCTCCTTTTGGACTAAAATCAGCTCAAGATGAGTTTCAGCAGAAAGTTGATGAGACTTATGAAGGTCTACAAGGTGTCACTGCTATTGTCGATGATGTTCTGATAGAAGGCAAAAGCAAAGAGGAGCATGACGAAAACCTCCACGCAATGCTGCAACGCTCCAGAGAGCGAGGAGTCAAACTCAACCCAGAGAAGAGCAAAATGTGTGCCACAGAGGTCAGCTACTTTGGACACCACATCTCCAAAGATGGAATCAAGCCTGATCCAGCAAAGATTTCTGCTGTAAGAGACATGGAGCCACCCAGAAATAAAGGTGAGCTAGAGACTATTCTTGGCATGGTTAATTACTTGTCAAAGTTTGCCCCCATGCTCTCAGACATCAATGCCCTCCTTTAAAGGAGTCAAGTGAGTTTGTTTGGGATACATAACACGACGAAGCATTCAGGAAAATGAAGGAGCTAGTCACACGTGAACCAGGTCCGATACGAGCCTACTTTGACCCAAGCAAAGAGCTCAGGTTGCAAATTGACGCATCGAAGTATGGACTAGGTGCAGTCCTACTGCAAGAAGGAAAGCCTATTGGCTATGCATCTAAATCACTGTCAGACAGCGAAGTCAACTATGCTCAGATTGAAAAAGAGCTGTACGCCATTTTGTTTGGATGTAACGTTTCCACCAATATGTGTATGGCAGTCACGTCATCGTGGAAAGTGAACACAAACCACTTGAGTCCATCATGCAAAAGCCACTGGCAGCAGCGCCTCCACGGTTACAGAGGATGATACTTCGACTTCAGTGATATGATTTCACCATCATCCACAGACCAGGCAAAGACATTCCTGTTGCAGACACCCTCTCCAGGAAGTCACTGTCTGACCATGACGACACCCTTAGAGAAGCTATGGACATGCAGGTGCACACAGTGTACAGTAACTTACCTATTAGCGACACCAGGCTACAAGCAATCAGAGCAGAGACTGAAAAAGACACACAGCTTCTAACAAATACCATAAAAATGGATGTAGACAATGCGCTGTATGCATCACAGAGTACTGGAATCATCGTGATGAGCTGTCTCTGATGAACGACATCATCTTCAAAGGTGAGAAAATCCTCATCCCTGCCTCAAGACGCACAAAGATGTTGTCTCGAATACATGCCTCTGACTTGGGCATAGAAAAATGTAATCTGAGAGCCTGGATATGCTGTTTTGGCCCGGCATGAACAAGCAGGTTGAGGAAATGGTTGGAGAGTGCCCAACCTGTCTCGAGCACAGACCCTCAAACACTAAAGAGCCCCTTGTAAACCACAAGATCCCTGATAGGCCATGGCAAACAATTGCTAAAGATCTGTTCACCTGGCTACACAGCACAACATCCTCTGCTGTCATTCAAAAACTGAAATCAGCTTTTGCCAGACACGGTATACCAGAGACTGTTGTATCAGATAGTGGCCCCCAGTACAAGTGTAAATAATTTGAAACCTTTGTAGAAACATGGGAGTTTAACCATATCACCACAAGTCCATACTATCCCCAGCAATGGTCTTGCAGAAAAATCTGTGCAAATTGCCAAGTCACTCCTGAAAAAAGCCAAAGCTGATCACAAGGATGCCTATCTGAACCTCCCAGAGTACCACAACACACCGGTTGATAACTTCAGATCACCAGCTCAGCTACTTATGAGTCGTCACTTACGCTCCATCCTACCCAACACCCACAAGCAGCTTCAGCCCAAGATCGTCAGCCAACAAAGTGCTCATACCAGGAGAGCTCACCAGCAACAAACCCAGAAACGATATTATGACAGGTCAGCCAAGCAGATGACACAGCTGCACGAAGGACAAAACATCCGTTTCCAAGATCCAGGATACTGGAAGCCTGCAGTCATCATTCAGCCTGCTGACACTAACAGATCTTACCACATACACACACCTGAAGGACAAGAGTACAGGAGAAACAGACGTCACCTTCTTATCACAACAGAAACATCCAACACACACACAGACAGACAACCTGATGACAACAAGCAGCAAACACCACACAGTCCCACATCACTCACCTCACAGATCACAAGTGAAACTGTCCCTCAAACAGTTCCTCACACTGTCCCTTACCAGACCAGGTACGGACGAGAGATAAAGCCCAGGTCTGTTTTGGACTTCTAAACAAATGTAAAAGCGTGTAGGCAGATCGCTGCCCTTAAATAAAAATTGTTCATTGGTTATATGCTGTGATGTATTCTGATGCAGAGTTGATTTTACTAAACATTTTGATTTGGGTTTATTCACTAAAAGCACATTATGCCATGTATACTGTAATTACAAGTATGTGTTACGTTTATCTTTTCTAAAAGGGGGGTGTAATATTCTCACAGAATATCATTGTGGTTGCCTAGCAACACTGTTGTGTTGTAAGTTAGTAACATGTGTTCCTATTGGTTGCTGACTGAGCCTGATTGTGATTGGTCCGCAGTGTATGCAGATGGAGCCTGTTCTGTTTAGTATGTGTGAGAAGTTCACCTTCCTAGTAAGACTTCACCAGAATGTACAGAGTACACGACTGCAAATAAAGATTCAGTTAAAGCACGTCGTCGTAACAGATACAAAACAAGACAGGTAACTGCCGGTAATGAGAGGGAGATTGCCTGCACAGAAAACTACACCCACATGCAATCACACAGCCATGCACCTCAGGACACACAGGAGAGGAGAAACAGAGAGAAATGAATAACAACATACAAGAGAGTAAGGGAGGGGGGCTGCAATGGTGTTAAACCACAACACTCTAAATGCAAGGAAACGCTCGTGTGAAAAGTGTTTGTCACTGTGTGGTTCATGACCACTTCTCTGGTTAAAGAGAAATGGTTTAAAGTGAACTGATGATGCTGTGTAAGAAGTGTGATATGAAATGTAAGTACAAAGGAGAAGTTGTTCATGTATTTACAGTTTCTTAAATTTACTAAGAAGTCTAATGTATGTTGTATTCAATATTCTACTAAATTATACACTCATATTAAAACATGAAACCAATAAAATAAACAACCTCAACATACAGCCAAAGCTTGGGGTATCCAGTTCCTCAGATGGTAGAGCACGTACTATTTAAAGTCCTCACCACAGTGAGTGGACCAGGTTCAGTTCTGGTCCCTTTGCTGTTATTCTCTCTCTACCTCAACTTAACTGTCCATCTTACACTGCACCTATCCAAAAAAAGCAAAATAGAAAATAGTTTGAACAAAAAAAACATCAGAAGCAAACTTCCTCATTCACACAGAAGGGAGGATAAAGACGTTGATGTTTTTGTGTCTGAGCATGACATTGTGTAGGACTGTGCTGGTTTCTTTTTATTAACTTTGATGTTGTTTCCTTTGTATGGAAAGCTTTCAATGTTCTAAACAGAAATAAGGATGAATGAAACTAGACATTTGAGATGATGAAAATACAAATATGACTTTTCCAGTTTTTGTGTTTTGAGGGTTTGAATCCAAATCTGTTTTCCATATGTAATAAAAAGATTAGTGATAGTATAGTCCTCCTTCAAGCGGGCGGCCTGTGGCTCTTTTCCTGCTGTACTGCTTCACTGACAAAGTAGATAAGGTACACATTAAGATTGTAAAAAATGAGTGATGTTGTTCACATAAAATGTTGCACCAAATAGCATTAACATCAAAACAAAATATGACATTAAAAGTGACTGTGAGCATGTTCCAGTTTGTTTTAAGTTTTGTGCGCCCTGTGGAAAAGTATGGAGTGTGAAGTCTCTTTTAGAGGACTGATGATCTGGATTTGTTGATCCCCAAGAGTCTGTATCTGGATCAGGATGATCAAATCCATGATTGATCTAAAAAAGGGATTAAAAATGAGCTGGATCACATGACCCAACATAGAAAGAACCAAATCTGGATCATTCTTATCTACATTAAACCTTTTAAACCAACAGGCCCTCTAGATAAGACAAAGATACAACAACAGCTTGAGGGCCATGTTGCTCGTTTGTTAGAGCATGTACCATTTAAAGCATGAGTCCTTATCTCAGTGGACCAGGTTCAGTTCTAACCTGGGTCCTTTAGTGGGTGACGTTCTCTCTCTTCCTCGTCTTAACTGTCCATCTTTAGTTGATGCTACCAAAAAAGGGTAAAAAATTTAAATAAAACAGAGGAGGAGTCAAACACTAACTTCCTCATTCTCACTACAAGAAGAAAGGAATAAATCTTTTGAGGTTTTTGTGTCTTAGCAGCGAGGTGACTGGTTTGTTGCAGTTCTGCTGAAATTTAAAAATCGTCTTTTTTCTACATTTTCTCTGTTTAAGCTCCTGGAGGTTTGTTTGGTAAGATCAGCTATGACTGCTATTTATGTTTTATTGTTTTAGTTTTCAGCAGCTTTTATTTTCTTTAAGTGAAAATGACTGTTTTGTTCATCCAACTCTTTAACGAGGACTTTGAAGAGTAACTTAGTTTTTAATTCCAGGTGATGGGTGTTACTGCAGTCCTGTCAGTGAACATGGTAACAGCCATCATGTTACTGACTGTCTTCTCTCTTTCAGGTGAGCTGTTTGTTCACTTACTTTCATTCAAAGATGTTTAATCTGTACAGTTTGAACTTCCTGTAGAAACAAAGCAGAGAGAAGAGTGCAGATAGAGTTTCTTCTTTCATCTCTTCATGTCCTGACTGAAAAGTGAAATGTTTTAGACTGACTTTGTGAACAAGAGAGAAAAAGACCAGAGCACACCACATTACTTCTTAGACTCTCATTAACATCCTCTATATGAAGATCCTGCTCCACATTATAATAACTGATGGTCTGCTTTACAGAAGCGTCGGATGAATGTCGGACTTATTGGTCAGCGCTCTTCATCACTACACCAAAGAAGATGGAAGCACTGAGTGGAACTTGTCTGAAAATCCCATGTAGCTTTAGTGTTAAATATGAAAAAGAGTTTGACAACACAACAGAAACATTTGGAATATGGTTTAAAGAAGACAAAGAGACCTACGATCCAAAGAATGTGGTTTTTAACAGTGATGGCACAGTGAACAAATTTCAAATGAAGATAATTGGAAACTTGAGAATGAAAAACTGCACCACTCTGATTTACAACATGAAGACGACATATGAAGGCGTATACTACTTCAGAATCATGAACAGGTCATTATGGAAAACATAGCTGTTTGTAATCCTCCTCACATAACAGTCAAAGGTAAGAGAGTTTCATTTTCTTTTAATCAGACTATAAAGGTTTTATTAAGAAACAATAAATCATTGTCATAGCACGAGTTGAACTCTGATTAAATACTGAGACTCTTTTTACTGGTTGAGATTGAAGGGTCCAATCTTGGCACACTAAGAAGCAGAAAAACATTTTAATTTAAAGTTTTTAATTACAGTGCTGTCAGCTTTTGTCTTAACATCATTAGGACCATTTTTTCCTTGTAACATTTTTCAACACCTCCCCCCTCCTCTCCCATACACACACAAACATATACATGCACACACACACAAACAAATAAACTAACAATGTAACAATGATAAGTATCCTACCCTTCCTTCTTACAAAGTACACACACATTTTTATACATGACATTACAAACCTTCTCCATGAAGTTTCCATGACAGAATATTAACGTGGTAATGATGACAGGCGGTGGCTGGAAGTTTGGGAAGAGTATAGTAGAAAAACATTTTAGAAAGGACAGTCACTGTCAGCTAGTCTATTGGTTAAAGTAATCTTTGTTTGCTTTGAACACACAGATTCTCCTCCGAGCCCCAAACTAATCATCTCAGGAGATCTGAAGGAGAAGGAGTCTGTCACTATAACCTGCTCAGCTTCCACTCCCTGTCCACTCTCCCCTCCTAAACTCACCTGGACTCTCAAACAAGACTCTCTCAACAACATGGAGGAAAACCCAGATAAAACCTTCACGACTAAAATCCAGGAGCAGATCACTCTGACGGACAAACATGATGGATACAACATCACCTGTTCTGCCACATATCCTGTGAATGAAGGAAAAGAAGTCAAGACAGCAGAGGAGACACAGACTCTCAGAGTTTCATGTGAGACAACCAGAGATTGTTATTGGATCCTGTCAGAATGAGATGATTTTAAAGATGTTTGCTGTTTTTAATGAAATATGTTTATCTAACATTTTCCTCAGATTCTCCTAAAAACACCTCAGCGTCCATCAGTCCATCAGGTTTGGTGTCAGCAGGTATTCATGTGAACCTGACCTGCTCCAGCAGAGCCAATCCTCCTGTCAGCAGCTTCACCTGGTTCAAGATCAGCAGAGATGGACCCATGATCGTATCTGAAGGAGAGTTTTACAGCTTTAATGCCACAGAGGGAGGAGTTTATTACTGTGTGGCCATGAATGATCTCAGTAATCAGACATCACCACAGATCCATCTGAGTGTTGCAGGTAAAAACTAGAAGTGAAAAAGCTTCTCTTCTTTTATTTTAATTTGTTCTTTTTTGTTGTTTTCTGTTTGTGCGTTTTGGTCGGTTATTTTCATCTCTTTTTGAATGTACCCTCTTTACTGCATTGGTATCAAACAGTTTAACAAATGATCGCTGCAATATTAACTCTAAATGTCTGCATACCACCCAACCTTTC